TTAAATTAAAATTAAGTAAAATAAAAGTTATTAAAATAAAAATAATTAAGAAAAAAAAATTTAAGTAATAAAAAAAAAACGGACAGACAGAACCCTAGGACACATAGTAAAAGCAAAGCTATATAGACAAAATCACACACAGGAGCATACACATACACACTCACAAAAAACAGAAAAAGGGAAAGAAATTTATATATCGTTGCTCCCAAAGTCCACCTCCTCAATTTGGGATGATTCCTTGTCTATGCAGGTATTCCACAGATGCAGGTACATCAGGTTGATTGTGGAGCTTTAATCCGCTGCTCCTGAGGCAGCTGGGAGAGATTTCCCTTTCTCTTCTTTGTTCGCACAGCTGCCGGGGCTCAGCTTTGGATTTGGCCCCGCCTCTGCGCCTAGGTCGCCGGAGGGCGTCTGTTCTTCGCTCAGACAGGACGGGGTTAAAGGAGCAGCTGTTTCGGGGTCTTTGGCTCACTCAGGCCGGGGCAGGGGGTGGGGGGCACGGAGTGCGGGTGGGCGGGGGGGGAGGGGCACGGAGTGCGGGTGGGCGGGGAGGGAGGGGCACGGAGTGCGGGTGGGCGGGGAGGGAGGGTCACGGAGTGCGGGGCGGGCCTGCGGCGGCAGAGGCCGGCGTGACGTTGCACCAGCCTGAGGCGTGCAGTGCTTCTCCCGGGGAAGTTGTCCGTGGGTCCCGTGACCCTGGCAGTGGCGGGCTGCACAGGCCCCCCGGAAGGGGGGTGTGGATAGTGACCTGTGCTCGCACACAGGCTTCTTGGTGGCGGCAGCAGCAGCCTTAGCGTCTCCTGCCCGTCTCTTGGGTCCGCGCTTTTAGCCAAGGCTCGCGCCCGTCTCTGGAGCTCCTTTAAGCAGCGCGCTTAATCCCTTCTCCTCGCGCACCGGGAAACAAAGAGCTAAGAAAAAGTCTCTAGCCTCTTCGGCAGCTCCAGACTTTTCCCCGGACTCCCTCCCGGCTAGCCATGGTGCACTAACCCCCTTCAGGCTGTGTTCACGCCGCCAACCCCAGTCCTCTCCCTGCGCTCCGACCGAAGCCCGAGCCTCAGCTCCCATCCCCGCCCGCCCCGGCGGGTGAGCAGACAAGCCTCCCGGGCTGGTGAGTGCCGGTCGGCCCTGATCCTCTGTGCGGGAATCTCTCCGCTTTGCCCTCCGCACCCCTGTGGCTGCGCTCTCCTCTGCGGCTCCGAAGCTTCCCCGCTCCGCCACCCGCAGTCTCCGCCCGCGAAGGGGCTTCTAGTGTGTGGAAACCTTTCCTCCTTCACAGCTCCCTTCCATTGGTGCAGGTCCCGTCCGTGTTCTTTTGTCTCTGTTTTTCCTTTTGCCCTACCCAGGTATGTGGGGAGTTTCTTGCCTTTTGGGAGGTCTGAGGTCTTCTGCCAGCGTTCAGTAGGTGTTCTGTAGGAGTTGTTCCACGTGTAGATGTATTTCTGGTGTATCTGTGGGGAGGAAGGTGATCTCCGCGTCTTACTCTTCCGCCATCTTGAAGGTCCTCCTCATCCACTCTTCGTTCTTTCTCTGGATGACTTCCTCAGCCCCCATGCTTCAGATACCATCTATGTACATGTGACTCACACAATTTTCCTTCAGCTTAGGCCTCCTTTAAGAGCTTCAGACCTGCATTTTTAACTGCCTACTTTTCTAGAGTATCTTACAAGCTCAAATTGCCCCAAACACACATATTTTCCTTCTAACTCTATTCCTTTTTAATTGTTTCTTGAACCTTTAACATCACCGTTATCCACCTTGTTACGGTCATCCTCAAGAGTTCAGTTCTCTTTCCCTTATGCCCTGTATCCCGTCCATCAACCAGTTTTATTTATATCTATTTCAGGTAATTATCTCTTTTATTGCATCTTTCCATCTTCACGGCCATCACCTGAGTTCAATCAACTATTATCTCCCATCTGGATGACTACAATAGTTTCAAAATGCATCTCTCCAATCCACTTTGGCTTCTCAAAGAAACTGGAACAGTCCGTTGGAAATACAAATCTGACCATATCGTACCTCTATGAACAGCACTTAAATGACTCCCTGTGTTTCTTGGGGTATAAAACAAAAGCTCACACTGTGGCCTATAATGTCCTGCGTGGACTGGCCCCTGCTGCACTCGCCAGCTGCTCTCACCATGCTCTCCCTGCCTTCTCGCCCTCATTACGCCACAGTTCTTTCATATCTTGAATGCACCAGGCTCCTTGCCTCCATCAGACGGCTTTAGCCAGCGCTGTTTCCCATGCCACCACTGTGTGCTTTTCTCGTGGTGCTCTATTTGCCTAGTTATAACCTGTCCTCCCTTGGAGCCCACCCCATGGGCCACTTCCTCCCGGAAGTGATTCATTTCCCAATTATGTGTCATGTGCCTTTCTATTGACAGAGTTGAAAGCTTCCTCTTATTGATTCTTTATTAATTCTGTTCCCTCAACCCCACTCACAACTCATTGTAGGCTCTTCGAGGGCAGGGACTGTGCCTGTTTTGCTCACCATTGTGTTACTAAATGCCCAGCATACAGTGGGTACTTGTGATTATTCATTGAAGGAATGCAGTGTGACTCTCATTAGAACAAGCTAATAACAGCGTTCCCAGGGTAACAGGATCCTCTCCATGGCTTTGCCTTTGTGCCCCCAGTCTCTAGAACAGGATCTCCTAGCAGGCATTAAGTAAAGTTTAGCCATTACTACATCAGTGAGTGAATGCTCCAGAGCCAGCACTTCCTCCAAAGCCAAGTAAAAAAGACTCTGACACTATTCAGGAAATTATGGTCTGAGGTGCTCAGCCTCCTTTATGCTTAGTCATGTTCTGTGTCTGGGGGACTAGACATATCTCAGAAATCTTGTCTCCAAACATGAAAATGGGGGCTACTCGGGACTTGCCTGCACTCTGGAATGTGAGACCCGCCTTCCTATGAGGTTGGCCAACTCCGCCAGGAATTCTTTGGCTGTAAACAGGCAGAGCCTGCTCAGACCATCCTGCGATTTGATGAGCTGGGTTTGTCTCTAGCTGGTGAGGGGACCTGAATAAAATCCCTTATGTGTAAGTCCTTCCAGGAGAAGGATCTCTGACCCTGTTGATGGCATAGTTGGGCACACAGAACAGGGATGCTTAGTAGCAAGTTAATGAGTGCTTGAATGAATAAAGGAAGCAAACGACTGTGGTCCACTAGCCTTTCTGCCGTTCAGCCATCATCTGTAAACCAGCAATGGGGAGGAGGGAGGCCTGTGCTAGACACTGGCTTTAGAGAGACGACTAGGACGCCCTCTCTGCTCTTGAAGACTTGCCGTTCCCACTAGGGAGACTTGACTAAGTGAACCCAGTTTTTCTAAGTTACAAGAGAGTCTGGGGAAAGTGCTGTGGTAAAGGAAACACTTGACGCCCTTAATCAGGAAGAGGGGATGTGCCGGAGGACTGGTCTGAAACATCCCTGAGTTTGGAGAATCAAAATCATAGCTTATGGGCATTAGCATCCCTTCAACTCAGCTGAGTTCTGTGAACACATGGCTGAAGAAAAGGAGAAACTCAGTCTGGTTTCATGAGAACAAATGTGTGTGGGCAGAGATGTCATCCCTTCAGCTAAACATTAAACCACCACAAACGTTAAGGGAACACCAATTATGAGCCAGATCCTGTGCTAACATGAGGAAACAAAGATAAAGGACACTTCCTCTTGCCCCCGAGGAGCTTGCAGATCACTGGCGGAGACAGATGGGGAAACAAATCACTAATAACATCAGCACATTGAGATCTGTACCAAGTGGTACAGAGTGTTATCAGAATTTGGAGAAGAGAGAGAGGAATGCTCCTGGGGCAACCAGGGAAGGTGGTGTCACTGGTCATGGATGAGCTGATTCTGATGTGGTAGAAAAGTAGGGATGGGTCAGGGAAAGGATGCTTTGGATTTAAGCTGCCTCACATGAACATGGAATCATTGGGAAGAATTCACGGAGATGCTGGTCCAGGACCACACTCTAGAAGGCTCACACGGGTTCCTGGGATGAGAAGTTGCCTCTGTCCCCGGTGCACTGCATGAAGAGGCCGGGCTTAGGCATTCTTTGGCTCCTTACTTTTGCTGTGGCATTAGCCAAGTGGTTGTCTGGGAGGAGAAGGATAGAGGGACTAGAGGACATGAAAGTTGAATTCAAGGCTTCTGACTTTTGAGACCTAGACTTACAGAAAACCTGTGTAATCCTGGCCCTGAACTTTATCAGCCATGTGACTTTTAGCAAGCTCCCTTTGTCTTCTCATCTATAAAATGGGAAAATCAATATATACTTTAGGGAATATTTGCAAGGATTGGCCAAGCCGGATCCACAAAACGGCCCAGCACAGGGCAGAGGGTATAGTAAGTGCCCAGTTCTCAGTCTTCCTTGATGTGGACTCGAGTCAGCGTGTTAGTAGCTGGCAGAGCACGTAGCATCAGCATGAAATCCAAAAATGGAGTTAGCAGATATAAGCATTTTCTGAACCCAAGGCAATTCCCTTTAATCCCCACCATTTGTTTCCTATAAGGCACAAAATTTAAAAGTTATGTTTTTATCTTTAAAAATCCAGTGCTTTTCATTGTGTTACCCTTATACAAAGCTGTTGTTTTCGCCATTTACCTGAAAGAATTAATTAGGATTTGGAGTAATTCCATGAACCTAAGATTCACACCGTAGTTCCATTGTCTGATCCTAGGGACAAACCATTATGAGGGATAAAATTGTCTGCTTAATCTCACGGGAGGATAAGGGTTACCCTTATCCAGCATAGTGGTTGTGTAACCTTGGGCAACTCAGTTTCTCTGTATCTCAATTTCTTCCTCTACAAAAAAGGCTATAATAATAATAATTCAATATCTCAAGGAATTAATCCTCAAAAGGGTTAAAAGGGTCAACGTGTATAATGTCCTCAGCACAGTGCCTGGCATATAGTTAGGACTCAGTGAATGGAACCTGTTGTTATTATGATTGCGTCTAGTCAATTATCTTTCTTCTTCCCCTTTCCCTCCAAGGTGCCTCCACTCAGAATTCCAACACCGTGGAGCCCGAGAAGCAGGTGGACAACACTGTGAAGATGGCCGGCGTGGTCGCCGGCCTCCTCATGTTCATCATCATTCTCCTGGGCGTGATGCTCACCATCAAAAGACGGTGAGTTTTGGTCGCTGCCCTGCAGACCCTGTCAACCCCGGGGGGCCCCAACACTGCCATATGGCCAAGTCCGTTCTCTGCTGATTGCTTCTGAGCAGGGACCTTCTGATGTAACTGTTGAGGTCCTGAAATTTGGGGCCAGCGGTGGCTCATTGTGTTGGTGTCTGAAGGGCATGTGTATCTGCTTGGCGAGCAGCCCCAAGACGGCAAGTTTCTTGTGGGGGCAGGGGTTCCTTGGAGTACCATGGGATTCCATGTGTGATGCGTCTCAGAGATAGCTGCTCTGTTGTGATTGGTCACGTCATCAAGATTACAGGGGAGCCCCGGGAACACGGGTGAGCCCACAAATAGAGATGCAGGAAAGCAATGCGTCATTCCTTTCACCTTCATTCATCCTTGACTTTTCTTTGGTCAAGCAGCAGCATCCTGAGGGATAGATGCATCCTCAGCGTCAAAGGGATAGAGCCACCTCTGATGGTGTGACAGCCCTGGGGGAAGGCTCCTTCTTACTCCACATCCCGTAGAACCTTCCCAGCTGGATTGTTGCTGCTTGTCACCTCTCAGCGGGATGTCCTCCTGGCACGTCTGGTCAGCGCGCACAGTTATCTCCTGTTGCGTGCATTGCTCATGAAAGCCAGGGTACAGGTTCTTCCCTGATCCCCCAAATTCATTACATCAACATCTCCTGCTTATCAGACATACAGGAGGCTTGAAGAGGACACAGAGGAGTTGCAGAGAGGGAGAGGAAATAGTCATTAGGGAAAGTTGAAGAATATCCGCTCTCGCTGTCCCTGGGGTACACGCTTATTCTTCCAAACAGGGGGTCCTCCTACCTACTGTACCTTAGCCACCATGTCCCCGTGCCTACTGCCCATCTCAGTTTCAATGCCAGGATTCCAGCCTTGGTCTCCACCCTCCCACTCCCCAGACGGCCAAAGCAAACAAAACACTTATCTACATTATAATGAACTGTGCTGCAGCCTGCCCTGCCCCCAATTTAAAGAGACCGTTTAGTCCATTCTTCAACAAACTACTAACTCCTCAGCCTGAAGCTCTGGGTTTGGTTACTCACAGAGTTCAGGACAAGCCCAATAATGAGGACCCGCACCTGCTTTCATCCCTGAGACAAAAACAGCTTGTGAAACTTGTTCCCACCAGAACAAAGGGACGGAATGCCCCAAAGACAAATTCCAGCTTCTACTCTAAGGAGTCCCATGAATATAAACGCATGAAGTAAACAAATGAAGACAGTGTCCTTACTTCCAGCCATCAGTTTCGCTCTACAAGTAGTCGGCCTTCTTTTAGCCGTTCTGGCACCAGAATGTCTCTGTGTGTCTCATGGTTCTGTTCAGAATCAGCCAGGACCCCGTTTGACCAGGACATCTTATTGGTAGGACCTGTTCTTTCTTGACATCTTTGTTCTGTAGGATCATTCCTTTACTCAGGCTCCCAGCAGACTGACTGAAGAGTTTCGGTTCTCGTCCAGCTACTGATTTTCTGGTTGGAGCGGCTAGGGAGGAGGGAAGGTCCATGATAATATTGGGGGTCCAGAGCCCTCAGAGTCATCATCATCATCACCCATAAAGCGAGGCCACGTGTTATGTCTGTGACAAGCTAGCTGCTGTTGGATGAGGCCAAACATGAGGTGTGATTTCTCTGGGGGTGAGTGAGCACATTGCACATGTAAGATCATTGACACGTTCTCGGAGTCGCAGACGCTTTAGAGACAGAGGTGAGTTTGGGCCAGTCTCCCTGAAAAAAGTAACCAGTTTAATAGAATTGCATTCCTCTTTGATGGACCCTGCATGTTCTCATTCTTCGCCACTGATTTGTAAGTCAGATATGCTCTTCCAATTTTGCTCTTTCTAAAGCCTGACTTAACCCACGTCACCATTGTCTGCGAGCTTGTGAAGAAATTTCACTTCCCTCTCAACAGCTATTTCTGAAATGTGTGACTTTCTGGGAGGGAGGAAAGGGCTTTCTGTTTTCAGGCTGGCAGCAAGGATAAAGTGAACCCTTTGTGTGGTTTTGTCCTCTTCTGAGTATCTTCATCATCTCTCGCCTCTATCAAAACCATCCGTCAGACCCAACCAACAGACATCAGGTGATCACCATTTCTTTCCAAGAGGCAAAACTCAGATGTAGTGGCAGTGGGCAGGGGGTAGGGGTGCTGATCAGTGTTTGCATATACAGTATCTTTGGGAGAAAATAAGACGTTTTTCTGGCCTAGTTGATGGTAATATTTTACAAATAGGTATAGGGGAAGGAAAGGGAAGGAGCAGAGAGGAGGGGAGGGGAGAGGAGAGAGGAGTAGGGGATGGGTCAGAGGGAGAAAAAGAGAAATTAAACATCAGCCTGCACTCTTTCCACTACCCCACAGTGTCTTCTGATGTCTAGAGGTACCCCCACCAAAGGGCAGTGAAGAGCTTAATGGGCTCCTTTCCCTCTTCTGATCCCGACCCCATATATAAATATGGGGAAAACGTCACTGGTCAGTTGAGTCTGTCACTAACTTACTTACTGCTCGCCAGAATGATGTCCACAGTCACCTAAAGGGCATAGATACGAAAGGAAAAGAAACCCCCAAATAATAGGCGAATCATCACAACTCAGGATCCTAGTGTCAGCATCTCTTCAGTGTCCCTTTGTGACCTAGAGTTAGTTCCTGCATCTAGCAGCTCTCAGAAGTCGAATGCCTGCCACACTCCCTGCACTGGCTTGCGCTGGGTCTTCTCCCTAACCTCCACAGACATGGCCATGGGGGCTCCCTGTTTCCTCTGCTCCCAGAGGATTCAGCTGTCTCAAAGTCTTCCCCAGAGCTGCAGGCACATGTTTCCAGTATGCCCCTAGTTTCTCCATACAGGCCTTGAAGCGTCCCTGTCACTCTCCAAAGAGAGTCTTTCTCTTACTATTAGGGGTGTGTGTGTGTGTGTGTGTGTGTGTGTGTGTGTGTGTGTGTGTGTG